GTCTGTGTTTCAGTTGTTAAGTGAATCTGGATTCTCCATTGACTTTGCTTGTCAGGTCGCAAAAAAGGTGATTATATGACCATGGGACACTGCAACTGTCATAAATACATGTCAGTTGCCAAGTATCTGAATTTTGATCATATAACTATGGGGATGCTACAACAGTTGTAAGTGTGAAGAATGGTCATAAGTCCCTTTCTGGTCTCTCTAAGCTGTGCTGGATGAGGAATTCTGGGAGTTGAAGTCCAAAGGACTTAAAGTTGCCACGGTTGAGAAACACTGCTCTAAGCAGTTTATACCTAAACTAATGCTCTGTTATATGTTGAAATTCTAGAATTCTGCTATATATAGTCCTCATGTTACAAATGTAACTGTTATAAGTTGAGGACTATGTGTACTGGGAAATTAGACAAGGATAAGTACGTTTAGAATTGTGCTTCTTGAATTTCTGGTTTGTTTGTTTGTTTGCTTAAATAGTGCCTGAAACATTTGGAGGAGAGGGGAAGAATGTCTTCATCAGATGACATTTAGTGTTAACAAAGCCCCCTGAATTCACTGTAATTTGAACACTCCCATTATAAAAAATTACTCCAATGGCAACATCTTAAACTCTCCCCAATCAAAGTGGGAAATACTGTAAATTGAGAAGATAAATGATACACAAACTCCATCAACAAAAAGCACTGAAATCAACATTAAGACTTATTATTAGCAAAGCTGCACAGACTTTATTGAATTTAAACAATGGCAAACACAGCTGGCTCACAGAAACTGGAGCGTTCCTAACCTAAGTCCAAAAGTCGGTGGGTGACTGTTTTCAGCAGTTCCTGCCACACTTTGAATTTAATTTAGTTTCATGCTCTCTGTTTTCCACATTTCAGGAAAAGGTTTTTCTCCCCCACCCCCCTTGTTGATTCTGGTAGATTATGAGAAGGGCTTCTTCTGGCTATGCCACTGCAAAGCAGCAGGAAGCACCAGGGAACCAGTGAGATTGGCTGCTAATGCTCACTGGCTCTTGCCTGCTCTGCTTAATGGGAGAAACCATGCCAGATTCAAAGGGTACTTTTAAGGATGAGCAGGAACCCATAAGGTTAGAAAGCAAGAGAATAACGACATAACTGAATATCTATTTCAAAGCAACTCTTGCTCTAAAGGAGGCTCAGTCTCAGAATTACTGCAGGTACTGAAAAAAAGCTGAGAGAGTTAAGGTAACAAGGTCCATTTAAACTCTGGCTAAGAGAATGCCTTCTCTGAAGAATTAATGAAAGAAAATCCAAGCAAAATCTATTTAGATTAATATGCACTTTACAACTGAAACACAGACTGGCCTGGAGCATAAATTAAATTTTAAGAAGAAAACCAGGAGCGCAAAATGGAAAGACGTTTATCAACATGAGCGTGTGAGTGTGGATGTGCATGCACACATTCCTTTTTTGAAGAAAAATATCCTAAGAGTTAAAACAGGCATGTGAAGTAGTAAATATGCAGACTGTACAAGCTGAATGAAGGATAATTAACTTGATGGAGTCAGGTGATGTAGAATTAAAGATGACAAGAGACAAATTAGAGTGCGCCCATTCCAGTGACCTCAGACGTCAGCCTAGAAGAAATAAAGATACATACAGATGAAAAACAGCAGGAGTGTTTGCAGTTCATGAGGAAGGAATCACAGGATCACCATGCTCTGTCCTTCATATAGTGAGTTATTATTATGTCCATTCCCATTGTGTTCAGTGCTGTTGCCCTATCAAAAGGTCTGAAAATGCTTCTAAACACAATGGAAATGGGCAGAATCCCAATACTTCAATTACAAATAGCCAGTTACTTGGAACAGTGCATATATAGTAGTCCTCCGCTTACAACAGTTCATTTAGTGACCAGTTGAAGTTACAACATCCCTGAAAAAAATGACTTATGGCCATTTTTCACACTTACATTTGTTGCAGTACCCCCTTAGTCATGTGATTATAATTTGGATGCTTGGTAACTGGTTCATATTTATAACAGATGCAGTCTCCTGGGGTCATGTGATCCCCTTTTTCAACCTTCTTACAAGCAAAGTCAAGGGAAAAGACAGATTTACCTAACAACTGGGTTACTAACTTAACAGCTGCAGTGATTCACTTAACAGCTGTGGCAAGAAAGGTCAGAAAATGGAGCAAAACTCGCTTAACAAATATTTCACTTAGCAACAGAAATTTTGAACTCTATTGTGGTCATAAGTCGAGGACTACCTATATTACATTACAATCTTAAATTATTCTAGAACCTTGGGAAAAATCCAAGAGTCAAAAGTACCAAATCCAGTCAGAACTTTCTGAGACGGTATGCTTAAAATAATAGTATTAGGCAATAATGATTATTTATATCCCATTTAAAAACTGTAACAAGTCCTGTTTTTGCTGTGGAACAATGCTGGCCAGCATTTTTATTAGTTGCACTACTGTACAAATAAGTTCAACAGGATGAAGGACCTCAATGAATAGCACCGCATTTACTGAAATTGTCCGAGCGTTGATTATTTTTGACCATGTTATCAATATTGGGGGCAATGAGAATCTTGTCTTTTTCACCTGGGTAATGTTCTACTTTATCACGCAAATTCTGTGCATTCTCCAGCTTCTGCTTAACTGATAAACAAGCAGGCCTGATGTAGCACCATAGGACACATTCTTAATCCTTTTTTCCCTATCCAGATATACCATTTTTTTTTTGCCTGTATCATGTATGCCAGTTTCTTCTCCATGGAAAATAATTAATTGATATTAGTCTTATATTTAGAAAGATTAATTATCCTGCCTCTCTGCTATGACAAACAATTTTATTTAATCTTGCTATTAGCAGATTGTCTTTATTTTTTAAGTTTTTGCTTTAATACATAGAAAGGAAAAGATACAGAAACAAATGAAAAGCAAACACATGGGGAAAAGGAAAAGAGAAAGGAAACATAAATAAATAATAAAATAAATAAATAAAAGCTCAGCTTTAAGCACAGCATTAAACCTAATCTTGACCACATAGTAATATTGATTACTCTTTCCATTATACTGATAAGATAGCAATTAAACATAATCTAAGACTGTAAATCTGGGAAACATTTATGGTAATGGGAAATACACTTTTGGGAAGGAAAACATTGCTTAAAGCTTATTGTGTTTTGTATACATTTAGTTTTCAAAGTTAAATTTATGGTACTAATTCCTCAGAAATTCTTATGCTATTCTCTTAATTGCTAAGACTAGAAGCAAAAAACATGTTTAACAGATTTTTTTTAATCTACGGAATGTAGACTAGTTAATAAATTTACTATGAAAAAGAACAGCTGTTTTAACTTCAATGTTAATGAATTTTTTATTTATGAAAAAATATTGTTAAAATGAAAAGAATTTGACATATCTGGCTAAGTAAAATGATGAATTAAGGAAAAAATAATGACTATAAACTGGAAAAGAAGAAACAGAGAGAAATATTTGATTTAATGCAATTAATTGAATACTCTGACAATTTACTGAATGGTTGCATAACATCAATCAAAATGATGATGTTACATTAGCCACATTGTTACATTACTACAATACTAATACAGAGTAGTAGTTTGGCTGCCTAAGACAGGTAGCCCATGTGGTTCACATTTGCATGCTTTCCAGGTGTACCACAGTGGGCAGCTAGCTCTGCATTATTCAGCTGAAATAGGTTTCTAAAGACATTTACTTCCTGGAAATTCTGATGCAGTGGAAATGAACGTGCTATGAGTATTATAGCCACTTTGTTTAACCAATTATGAACAAGTTGATAAAAATAAGAATGAGGGTCTAAGGAGGAAATCTCACCTGGCATTGATGAGGTATTGAGCAAGGCTGATGTTAGCTGGGGTTCCTGTGATGGTGATCTGACGCTCTGATGAGCCTTCTGTGGCATTGGCGATTTTGATCTGGGCTCCAGACATCTGCCTGATTTCATTAATTTTGGTCCCTTGGCGTCCAATTATGCAGCCTATTAACTAGGAAAAGAGATATTAGGACTTTCTTAAACTAACTCTTATGGTATTAAGAATTGTGAACAACAAATAGCACAAAACTGACAAGAAATCTCAGGATTTGTTTCTCTTTTGTTTTGTTACTAAGAATATGCTGTAACTATGCTCTTTCTTATAAGATAAGACAGGGCAATTTTCAAACTACTTCTTTTTTTAGCACTACCCACTATAACTGGAAACATCACTAATGGAGATTGGAGCTGCACTAGCTGGAGAAAGCTATGAATTATTAAGGCAGAAATCTTCCTAGATGTTTCCTTATTTAAAATGTAATTTTTACATGAGATTCACCTGGCCAAGTATGCTTTGTTGTGATGGAATATAGCACATATAGAATATATAGCAAATATAGGTATTTCTATATATACAAACTGAAAAACTCTACATTATTATTTTTAATAATTATTCTGCCTTTTTATATGTAACTGAAAGCGGCGAACATACTGTACCTAATGTTCCTGCCTCTTATGGCTGATTAGGGATTGCATTGCTCCACAATGGTAAGGCAGGACATAAAGCGAGATTTGGACATAACATGAAACGGGGTCAGACTATAAGATCTCCTGGGAGGCCCGTCTATCCCTTCTATCTCGTTATACATTTTCTAGTCTTGAAGAAAAACAGGAAGCTTGAACTCAGGAAACTTGAATGCCAAACCACAACATCTGTGTAAGTAGATCAGGTCAGTTGGAGGTCTTGCTTGCGAGTCAAACGTTATAGCATAACCACATGTCGGTATGTAACTAGTGCTTCCTGCATGCCAACTGCAGCCTAGACATGAAAGGGCAATATGGTATAATCTGCTTCTTTGCTTAGAAATAAGGAATTTAGCCAATAGAAATGATTTAGCACATTTCCGTGTTAGCTGTTTTGAGGAAGTTATAAGAACACGCTTCTCCCTAAGAACCTCGCTCAGACGTCAAATGTGGGTTTACACTGTCTGAGCCATTTGGCCAAATAAAGCTTATCTTGAGCTCATAGTCCGAGTCTCCTGATTTTCTGCAACATTTGTGGCGAGCCAGCCAGGAGATGAGGAGCGATATTTCGCTGAGGACAGCACAGACCGACCAGTGCCTAATTGGGGCCGTCTAGCCCTACCTTCAGGCACCAACAGAGAGTGTTTCTCTGGAAGGGGACTCATGGCCCCCTTTGGCACTTGGTGGTCACCGGCCGATCCAAGAACTACCACGAGATCAAGACAAGCTCATAAATAACTGAGAAAAGAAGACGCCTGCAGGCAAGTATTGTGGGAAATGTAGATCCACTCGGTTGAGAGTGGAAGAGGGGCGCCGATCACCCCCCTGAGCCCGGGATAGCGTCCCTTCCTAACGGAACCAGCATATCCTAATGAGGCTCTAGAATTACGCTGCTGCGACAGCGCAACACAGCCATTCACCCATGAGGCTGTGCCTGGCTCTTTGGGAGCCCGCTTGCA